GCTTTCGTCCATCATATGATGGACATCGTCAGAGCTGGGTGTCATTCTTGTAAAAGTCAAATCTTAACTACAAGGTATATTCTAATACATTTGCATGGACTAGACTGAGTGGAGCCCCATGATTAAGTGGTATTGTTTACCTGAAAGAGCAAGTGGAATGCTTCACTTGTTCCAAGTCTAGTTAAACGAAACGATAGATCTCTACATTAGGGCTTAAACATTAGGAAGTTGAACACAGGGGCGCCAGGGAAATGTCTTGTTATGAAAATATATTTTGAAGGCTAATTGTTTAATGATGATTTTGTGAGCATTAGCAGGAATTTGAACAAGTATATTTGAACACATAATGAGATAAACTCGTTTGTATTCTAATATACACACTTCTTAAATACATTACTATTTATGCTATATATCACCTCTTCTGGCTCTTTCATTATGTTATATTCTTATTCAACCCCTTCAGACTCGTGTGCGATGAGGCGCCATTATTATTAAATATTCCTTTTTCTAAGGTTATCTTCTGACGCGTATCGAAACTGAATCCGGATCACCAGAGAAGCCGCTTTCTGTGCTCGGTCATCTTTCTTACGAGTCATATTGGCGTTCAAAGGTTCTCCCCTTCCTTTTTCCAATACTCTCTGTCTCAAAAAATGCAGAAATCTTTATCGATCTCCAAACATGTCTTGGCCATAATCCAGCTTCTTTAGGTCTTACTACTTTAAAGGCCAAGGGTATTGCCTGTGGAAATTCAGAAGATCGAACTTCATCCAAATATGGACATATGAGCGTGAACTCAATTGATATATTTGGTGATAGGGTTAATTCTATTCATATTCGTGGTCGACACGCATTATTCTGCAACAGTAGAGAGATTACGACAGAGGAAACACCCATCGAGACTAGCCTCGCCAGTATTTGGTCTGCAAGTAGAGCAGCTATGCAAAGCGAATCCCTAGCAGAGCCTATTAACACTTCTTTTCAAGTCGAGGAGGAACCTAGATCTCTGAACACTCCACATCACACGATTACAATCCATTCCATTAGCCAAAAGACGGGAATTGATCCGCATGATGTGGCTACAACATTACAACAAATGGCGACTGCCATACATTTGAACGAGGAAAACAGGTATAGAATCCAACTATTCTTAAGAAGATTATATATGTATACTTTATTACTTTCTGGCTTATTTGCATCCTCTCTGTCGTACATTTTGTAGGCATTGATTTAATCTTCTAAGTACATGAATCATTAATTAATATCAACATCCATTAGAACTCCGTTTACTTTTTAGTGTTAGTTCGATTTCATTTTCGTAACTTTGTCGGAGCGTCAAGGTTACCTTGTGGAACGTACCTAGTCCTGTATCCTCTGCTATATTAATCGTGATTTCCAATAACGGACCATTAACTTAGAACATTCCCAAATGCTTCACCGGTATTTTAGTCGGCATCGTTTTACAACTTAACTAAATGACAAATGAAGACATTCACTATCAAATTTCACTTCAGCAGCTGTGGCATCACTTCTTGTCAATATTTTTAGTTTTATTTTCTAT